GGGCTAAGGCAAAGAAGGATTGTCACAAATTGAGAGTCTTGAAAGTGAGTTCGACTCTGAGAAGCCTCTTTTGTCTTGATAGTTTTTTCTTTCTTACAACAATGGTCGGAAATTGAATATATACTGAGAATTGAGTTGTAGTCAATAGTCTCTATTATTTCTAGTCAACATTTCAAAACGGAGAAAGTGCAAATCTATATTTTGTCCCCTTTTATATTGTTTTTTCCTCGCAGAGCATTGAGAGAAGATGATGGATGAAGTCACAAATCATATCGAATAACAATTACAAGTTTTCATCAGTTAAAACGTCCACGAAATATTTTACCGAAGATAAGATATTATTAGAGAAAAAAAAAGAAGATATTATTAGAGATTTAGTTAGATATATCATCATTTATGGAACACAAGAAAACAAGAATATCTACTGTTTCGTCTGATATAATTCGTTACGGTCGAAGTACAAGATTGAATTGGGTTCTAATGCTGATTTTTTTTTTTTGGGTATAACGTAAAAGAAAATGGAAAAATGTTTTTATATGACTGAGGTAGTCAATGGTGATTACGTTACCAAAATAAACAAAGCTGGGTTCATTATGTGCTCATAATAGTGTCTGTGAGATTATTAATAATCTCATAGATGTTCATAGTCAAACAATAGATATATATAAGGGTAAATTCGGAAAAGTGAATGCCAACCAAAAAAAAAAAAATCAAAGACTCTCTCTCTCGTTTCGATCTCAAAGATTTCACCGACTAATCGGAGTTTGGATCGGAGATTGGATCCGGGAATTCATCGGGAATCCTTTGTGGGGTTTGGATCTGTAAATGGCGCTTGGCTCAAATTAGTCTTGATTTTCCTTAAATCTACTTCGTTTTGCAATTGATCATTTTCGTGAAGCTTGCAGATCCGTCGATCTCTCGCGGAGATTTTTGTGAGGGTTTAGGTTTAGGGTTTTTATCCCGATTTCGATAGCGTTTACAAATTGATGGCTTCGACTCCTCAATTCCTGCTGGATGATCAAACGGACGAGGATTTCTTCGACAAACTTGTTGATGACTCCTTCTCTCCCAGCGAAGCTCACGCTTCATCTTCTGCTAAAGAGCTGAAATTCGACGACGGAAGTGACTCCGATGACGCCAAAGCGTTTGCGAATCTCTCCCTCGTTGACGATTCTGTGGGTGATGGGGACGTAACATTGAACGAAGCAGGCCCGAGGATCGATGTTGCAAACGAGGGTACAAGTAGTTCGCTGGGAAAAGAAGAGCCTTCATCAATTGCTATGGAAGCTGTTCAATTTGCGCACAGTGATGACAATAAGTTAAGAGATGATGTGCTGAGATCGGAGGTTGATGATATGCCACTATCTGAAACAGCAAAAGAAAGCAATACAATCGATGGATCTGGGAGTCCTGGGGTTAAGGAGGTTGATTGGGGCTCTTTCTATGCGGATTCGTCTGTAAATGACGGTCATGGGTTCGGTTCATACTCTGATTTCTTCACTGAGTTGGACGGATCTACAGGAAATTTACAGGGAAAGGCGGAGGTAGATGTGGTTGCTGCAGGAAACTTTGTATCCAATCCTACAAATTTAAGTGTTGGTTTAAATAATTCGGCAGGTTTCGAGCAACATCAGGGTGAAGTGAATCACGTTTCTGAAAATGGGCAGTACGTGAATAACAGTCAATCTTGGGAAAATCTCTATCCTGGATGGAAATATGATGCAAGTACTGGCCAGTGGTATCAAGTTGATGGTGGCCATGATGCAAGCATTATAAATTCACAGGAGAGCTATATTAACCCAACGAGTAACTGGGAAAGCGTTGCTTCTACTGAAAACTCGGATGTTGCTTATCTGAGACAAAGTACAACATCTGCAGTGGCTGGTACAGCTGAGAGTGTGTCTTCTTGGAACCAGGTTTCACAAATGGGCAATGGATATCCAGAACACATGGTCTTTGACGCGCAGTATCCGGGGTGGTACTATGACACAATTGCTCAAGAATGGCGCTCCCTGGACAGCTACAACCAGGCTTCTCAAACAACTGGATCTGGTCAAAATGGCCATGCTCTTACAGCTATGTATAACAGTAATAGCGAGGGTAGCATGTACAGTGTTAACGATAAAAAACAGACATTCAAAGTGCAAGAATTTGGTATACAGAGCCAACACGGAGGTTGGGACGAATCCTACTATGCCAACGATCAGCAGGCTACAAATACATGGCAATCAGAAAATGGAGGTAAGGCTGTAACATCTGCCTCATTATCAAATTCCGGAGGAACCCAGCAAGTAAATAGTTTGTACAGTACAGAATCTGTGGCTGAACAGTTTAAGCCAAATGAGATTGGAGTTCAAGGCTTCATCCCTCAGCATACGAATGTGTCTAGTGTCACGCAGAATGGACCATTGACTTCCTCAAATGATTTCTATAATAGAAAGAAATCCGTAGATGGGCGTCCACCACATGCACTTGTCAGTTTTGGATTTGGTGGGAAGCTCATTGTTATGAAGGATAGTCATGGCTCTCTGCAGAATTCACCATTTGGGAGTCAGGTTAGTCCTGAAGGGTTATTTCCCATTAGTTTTTGTTTTACACCCTGGGAAGTCTATGCAAACTATTGTAGGGTTATTATCATTTTGTATGCTTATCATTGAACATATATGAAATATATTATTATAACCTCAAAAGGTGAATTTCAATTCTAGTTTAACTGCTAATCGTTTTCTATTTCATTCAAAGGGAGCTGGGGGAAGCTCTATATCTGTCCTAAACTTGGCAGAAGTTATTTCTGGGAATGCCTCTTATTCAAGTCTCGGGGAAGACTCTTCGAGTTACTTTCGTTGTCTGCATCAACAATCTCTTCCAGGTCCCTTGGTTGGAGGAAATGTTGGAAGTAAAGACTTACATAAGTGGCTTGATGAGAGAATTTTACATTGTGAATCTTCCGACATGGACTTTGCAAGAGGGAAGCTGTTAAAATTGCTTCTTTCTTTGCTCAGAATATCTTGTCAGTATTATGGGAAACTCCGGTCTCCTTTTGGAACTGATGCAACGCAAAAGGTGAGCAGTTATGGAGATCCCTTGTCAGTACGCTTAATAAGGAAACATTTATATGTGTTACAATTTTCTCATCTTTGTATCTATTCTGCAAACAGGAAATGGATTCTGCAGAATCAGCAGTCGCTAAACTTTTTGCGTCTGCCAAGAAAGATGGCGTACAAAATGGTAGTTATGCTACTTTTAGCCAATGCTTGCAGCATTTACCACCTGAATCACAAATGCAAGTGAGTATTGGACATCTTATCCCATATTTCTCTTTCGAGGGAAACGGTTCTTAATAGTCGACTGTTTTTTTTTTTTTTGCTTATTAACTCATTTGTATGAATTTCCCAGGTAACTGCTTCTGAGGTGCAGAATCTTCTGGCTTCTGGTAGGAAATTGGAGGCTCTGCAATGTGCACAGGAAGGCCATTTGTGGGGACCAGCGCTTGTTATCGCGGCACAGCTTGGGGATCAGGTTCCTTTCCCTTCATTACTATTATTCTAGACCTTCCTCTCTTGTGGATGTTTGACTGACTTGGTCGATGTCTTAAATTGATGCAGTTCTCTGCGGACACTGTGAAACAAATGGCCCTTCGCCAGCTGGTACCTGGGTCACCTTTGCGGACATTGTGCTTGCTGGTTGCAGGACAGCCAGCTGAAGTGTTCTCCAATGGCAGTACAAGCGATAGCAGTTTTCCTGGTTCCGTTAGTGTGCCTCAACACCAAGCCCAGGTAATTCATTATTTCTTCTTCGTCAGACAATGTGATAGATTAGAGAGTGAAGGAAAGTTTAGAGACGCGCTGATAGAATTTGAAGAGATTACAGGGGTAAACTCCCCAGAAGGAAATGAAAACTTCTTGCTTAGGAATACTAAGTATTCACCAACCAGAGGCAACCAACCCTCTTGTTCCTCGGGAGAATTACCACCTATTGCTCTTCAAGAACTTAATAAATACTCAAAACCCAAAATTCAATAAAGGAAATACACAATCATAACCCCTTAGTTCTGTCTTGATTAAGTTACTAAATTAATCAATCTATCTCCACCAAATCATTGCTTAATATCAATGACCATGGTTAAAAGTCGGGAACTGTATAGATGGTGGGAATACACTGCAGGATGAGGTATTTCTCCGCCTCAGGGATTTGAGGGAACTAATTCACTCTTCCTTTTCAAAGGACATAGCTTCGTCCTGCAGCTCTGCCAGGGGAAGTTTGTTAATAGTTTCTAACTGTTTCTTTGAAATGCAGTTTGGAAGTAGTAGCATGCTTGACAATTGGGAAGAGAATTTGGGTATAATAACTGCTAACAGAACCACAGATGATGAGCTTGTGATTACTCATCTTGGAGATTGCATGTGGAAAGAAAGGGGCGAGGTAGTTCTCTACCTTTTTGTATTGTTTTACTTCATGGAATACTTTATCATGACATTGAACTACTGTTATGAATCAGATAATTGCGGCGCATATTTGCTATTTAATCGCGGATAAGAACTTTGATCCATACTCAGATAGTGCCAGGCTCTGCCTCGTCGGAGCAGATCATTGGAAAAATCCTAGAACTTATGCAAGTCCAGAGGCTATACAGGTGATTTTTACTCACTGTGGCTTTAGCTATTATCACACTAGCTGGGAGATTCTATTTTGAGCATATCATAAGTAGCCTCCAAGTTCCTCAATATATTTTGATAATTTCCTTATTTGTTGGTTGATCTTTGCATGGGCAGAGAACTGAGTTATATGAATACTCTAAGACGCTGGGAAACTCTCAGTATATCTTACTACCGTTTCAACCATATAAAGTCATATATGCCCATATGCTGGCTGAAGTTGGTAAACTTTCGTCTGCACAGAAGTAAGAAGATTCACCTTCTATCATCTACTCCTAGGTTAGACTACAAATGGCTTCTTGATGTTGTTGTGCTGTGGTTAAAATCAGGTATTGCCAAGCAGTATTGAAATGCCTCAAGACTGGCCGATCACCTGAAGTGGAAACGTGGAAACAGTTTGTTTTGTCACTCGAAGAGAGAATCCGTATCCACCAACAGGTACAGCCCACACAACTTCTAGTTCCAATAGAATTAATTGTTGATTTTACTTGTGGGTTTACATCTATTAGCAGTCTTTTCCTTTAAATGGAGATGTGAAAAATGATTTACATCTGTGAGTTTCCCTTCCTTTGATTGAATTATCTGGAAGAGAAACTCAAGCCTGTTCTTTTCTCTATTGATCCAACTTAATAGTACATTCCTATTTCAGGGCGGATATACTGTGAATTTGGCCCCAGCAAAACTTGTTGGAAAATTGCTAAACTTTATTGATAGTACGGCACATCGTGTTGTTGGGGGCATGCCACCTCATGCACCGCATTCAACAACAGGAAACCTACAAATTAATGAATACCATCATCAACAGCAGGAAGCCACCAAGTTTCCATATAGTCAATCGACTAATACAATGCAATCGTTGATGTCACCTGCTTCAGTGGAACCTGTACATGAGTGGGGTGGGAACGGGAGGGCGATGGCAGCACATTCTAGAAGTGTGTCAGAGCCAGATTTCGGTAGGACGCCAATACAGGTCAATATCACTAGAAAACCAATTTTTATTTACTTTTTTAAGAGCGCCAGATGTCTGGTTTTCAGCAGTTCTCGAATTATCCTGAGAGTAAGTAGGTACTGGGCATGCAATTTCCCGCAAGCACTCCCTTGGAATTTATGGGCTAAATGTTTAGGATCCAACCTATACGGGTTAGAAAACCATTGCTTACTGCTTAATGGATTACCTTTTTCTGATAGGATCAGCCTGACTCCTCAAAAGACAAAGCTACTGATGGGATGGCACAGGTGAAATCAACTAGGAATGTGACAACTTCGCGGTTTAGCCGCTTTGGTATTGGCATACTGAAGAACACCGTAGGGAGGGTCTTGCAATCTCGGTCATCTAATGAGGTGCACCTTGCTAAATGATTAGGTTGTGGTGATATTTTCTTGAGCTTATTCTAATTTTGGGTCATGCTTTCGATGAAGGCAAAATTGGGTGAGGAGAATCAATTCTACTATGACGATAAACTAAAGAGATGGGTGGAGAAAGGTGTCGAACCCCCAGCTGAAGAAGCTGCACTGCCTCCTCCTCCAACATTAGGCACGTATCAAAACAACTCATTGGGTTCTGAAAGCAAATCTGACATGAAGAACGAGATGTCTCCGTCTAGTGGGAGCTGGAGCAGTGGCAGCCCAACTCCGTCAGAGAATTCTTCGGGAATCCCACCAGCCTCACAGGGCTCGAATCAATTCTCTGCGCGTGGACGTATGGGTGTGCGTGCAAGGTAAACAAACCACTTTGAGACACACTAGGCTAATAATCTGTGGAGACAATTCTGGATCATAAATCATGAGCGCAATTGTAGTGTGACAGTAGATTAGAATAGCAAGCCAAAGGTAGAATCTTTCGCTGTGAGATAGGCAAAAAATTTCTGGATTGTAGTGGCCGGTTGTCCAACTGTTAGCTAGAATTTGTCTATAGTCGTGAGTCCGATAGATAATCAGAAAAGCTGCTGCATGCGATTAGTAGATAATGTGCATGCTTTGGAGGTAATAATTTTACTCTCTTTTGGGGCAGATACGTTGACACATTTAATCAAGGCCGTGGAAACTCTCAGACAATGTTTCAGTCACCTCCTACACAATCTGCTAAACCACCAATCCCTGCAAAAGCAAAATTCTTTATTCCAGCAGCACCTGCATCGTCTTCAAACGACCAGGTAACGGAATCGGCTGCTGCTGAAACCAGACAGGAGGAGTACTCAGCAGAAGAAGTAGCTGCCTCTGCAGGGGCTCCACCACCACCAAGCCACTCTTCGTTCCAGTCCCCGACACCATCTCCAATGACAATGCAGAGATTTCCAAGTCTAGATAACATCAAAAGAAGTGGATCAGGAATGAGTCTTAATGGTGATCTTCCTCCTTCCGGTTCCAGAAGAACAGCTTCATGGAGCGGAAGCTTCAACAGCTCGTATACATCTCCAACGGGTCCATCAAAATTTAAACCAAGCCCACTAAACAGTAGCAGCAGCAGCGTAGGAGAGGAGGAGCTTCAAGAAGTGGAACTGTAAGTTTGAAATCTGTAATATCAAAAAGTTTTGCTCACTGTCACAGGTAGTCCGATCAAATGTTAATCCATGAGTTACGCAATACATAAGACTCTCGGCCTCTGACAATGATAGGGGTAATATGTATGCAGTTTGTATTGTTTGTTTTTTTTCTTATTCAGTATAGATTCATTAATTTTTCTTTCTTTTTAACTGACTTCAATAGTTAATTAGTTATACAATAATACAGATTAATGTTTTGTTCATGAGTAGGGGTCTAATAATCAAATTTGTTAACCATGTCTTCATTTGTTTGTTAAGCCAATTCTTTTAGTATCAAGTTTATAAATTACAAGCAAGATTAACCACTTAAGCATGCCCATGTCATCAACGAAGAATAGGTATGTATTTTCGGAAAACAGGTTTGAGAATAAACCGATTTTTATTTTTGGCTCAGTTTAAAAAATTCGGTTTGTTTAGGATTTACCACGGTCGTTGATAATACGTAATCAGTAAAAAAGACACTGGTATAATATTGTATTGACTTTTGGTTTAATCGATCCGGTATGACTGTACCAAATTCGTGTTGTTGCTATCATTCGGTTTAAATTTGTTTCAGTTTAAAAAAGCAAATTCTTGGTTCGGCTTAAGAAAATCGGACAAAAACATTGGTGTCCGAAATAGTGGTTCTACGCGTGCTTTGGACCGGTGATGCGGACTTGCAAGAAAAAACCGCTGGTATCGACACGCGCATAAGCATTATCCTCGCCACGCACCTGCCTATTGATTTTTTTTTTTGTTTTATACGGGCTGGCCATTAATTATTGGGCCGATAACTCGGGTTTCGTGAATATTATTAAATATTAATTAGTCCAGTTTGTCCGATCGACCCTATAATTAATTAATGAACCGGTTGGTTAAGCATTTTGCAAGAGCGATCCAATGCCTACCGTTGGATTCCTTAGATCTGTGGAGCTCTAGAGAAACAGAGAGAGAGTCCTCTTCCTCCTCCGAACTTAGAAACCAGAAATCAAATGAGTTACGAGAGATGACATCTGGATCACGAATTTCGTCAAACACATTGTGTGTGCATTTTCCAGCGATTTAATTCTCTTGTAGAATCTCTCAACAAGGAATATAGGAGCCAAAGCGTCTTTCAGACAAATGTATATCTTATGATATACCCATGAAGCTGTCGGCACAAAGAAACGCAGCCATTGTCTCCGGAGACGCACCTGTTTTGTCCCCGTCATCGAGTAGATACGAGATGTCGGAAAAGCTGTAAGTTTCTCTGACACAGATCTTAGCATTTGACGATCCTTTCAAACAGATCGACCCACCGTGCTCGATTACATATCGAAATGTCAGTAGCGAATACATCTAATTCGAATAATCATATCGGATATTTTTTTTGTGTGTTTGTGTGAGCAGTTTGGTGAGAATGATTTTGAAGGTTGAGATAGAAAGAGCTTAAATCAGACGTATTTAGAAAGTAGCAAATTTGGGTGGATCGGAGTCTGTAGCATCATGCTTCACTTGATCGCTGCGTTCTATAGAATTACTTCCTTTGGCATTTGATCCTCTCGTGAATCGAGCATCGAGCATATCATTCCATCTCTCGCAGTGATTCTGTTGGGGTTTAGGCTAGTGTTATTTCTAATTTTTGATCTCTTCTTCGATTGATGGCTTCGGCTTCTCAATTCCTGCTCGAGGATCAAACGGACGAGGATTTCTTCGACAAACTTGTTGACGATTCCTTCTCTCCCAGCGAAGCTCAGGCTTCATCCTCCGCAACGCAGCTAAAATTCGACGACGTAAGTGACTTCGATGGAACATTGAACGAAACAGATCCGGGGAACGGTGTTGCAAACGAGAGCCTGCCAAGTAGTTCGCTGGGAAAAGAAGAGCCTTCTTCTGTTGCTCTGGAAGCTGTCCAATTTTTCCACAGTGATGCAAATAAGTTAAGAGATGATGGGCTGAGATCAGAGGTGGATGATATGACACTATCTGAAACAGCAAAAGAAAGCATGATAGTTAATGATCATGGGAATCCTGGGGTTAAGGAGGTTGATTGGGGCTCTTTCTATGCGGATTCATCAGTAGATAACAGTCGTGGGTTTGGTTCATACTCTGATTTCTTCACCGAGTTGGACGGAAATGCAGGAAATTTACAGGGAAAGGAAGAGGTAGATGTGGTTGCTGCAGGAAACTTTGTATCCAATGCTACAAACAATGCAAGTGTGGGTTTAGATAATTCGGCAGGTTTCGAGCAACATCAGGGTGAAGTGAACCACGTTTCTGAAAATGGACAGTACGTGGATAACAGTCAATCTTGGGAAAATCTCTATCCTGGATGGAAATATGATGCAAGTACTGGCCAGTGGTATCAAGTTGATGGTGGCCATGATGCAAGCATGATGAATTCACAGGAGAGCTATAATAACCCAGCGAGTAATTGGGAAAGCGCTGCTTCTACTTATAACTCGGATGTTGCATATCTGGGAGAGAGCAAAACATCTGCAGTGGCTGCCACAGCTGAGAGTGTGTCTACCTGGAACCAGGTTTCACAAGTGAGCAATGGATATCCAGAACACATGGTCTTTGACGCGCAGTATCCAGGATGGTACTATGACACAATTGCTCAAGAATGGCGCTCCCTGGACAGCTACAACCAGGCTTCTCAAACAACTGGAAATAGTCAAGCTCATGATCAGCTTTTCTCTCCAAGTACAGGAAGATCAAAAGATGGGCGTCCACCACATGCACTTGTCAATTTTGGATTTGGCGGAAAGCTCATTGTTATGAAGGATAGTAGTGGTTCCCTCCAGAATTCATCATTTGGAAGTCAGGTTAGACCCGAAGTGGTACTTTTCATTTGTTTATTTTACACTCTTGGGAGTTTATTAAAAATCACATTTTATATATAGTATGCTTATCATAAAGTGTGAAATATATTCTCCGTTAACCTCATAAAGCGAATTTCAGTTCTGGTTTAACTGATAATCTTTTTCTATTTGATTCAAAGGGAACTGGAGGAAGCTCTATATCTGTCCTAGACTTGGCGGAAGTTATTTCTGGGAATGCCTCTTATTCAAGTCTCGGGGAAGACTCTTCGAGTTACTTTCGTTGTCTGCATCAACAATCTCTTCCAGGTCCCTTGGTTGGAGGAAATGTTGGAAGTAAAGACTTACATAAGTGGCTTGATGAGAGAATTTTACATTGTGAATCTTCCGACATGGACTTTGCTAGAGGGAAGCTTTTAAAATTGCTTCTTTCTTTGCTCAGAATATCT